AAAACATACTTCATTTTCAAGAATAAACACAAACGAAGAATAAAAATCTTTTTTAAAAATAATATTGTATATATCTTTCTAAGTTAAAATTAAAAAAAAAAAAAAAAAAAGGCCTGGATGTCTCTAAAGTCAAAACAGTGACTTTCTGGCTCCCGCAGTTTAGGAGAAGCTGAGCTCTTAATGCAGCTTCACTACCATTTTGCCTTCAAAAGGAGCCAGTTGCCCAAGTCAGAGGGGCTGTCAGAGGCACTCAGCGAGACACCAGGTGCCCACCTGGCCTCCACTCCTCTTGCCCAGCACTACGTGTCTCCTCCCTCCCTCTCTCATGGAGTCATTACCCAGTGACCCCCTCTGAAATGCCCCTCACACCTGGCCCTCCCCTCAGCTCTGACTCTGGGCCTTATCTCAGGAAGGCAGTACCCAGACTTCTCATTCAATCTCCTTCCCACCCAGCCATTAGATTAATCATATCTAAAAACTGCTCTCATTTATTTTCTCATTTAAAAATTCTTTCCCACTGCCAATATATTAAATAAAATTAATCAACTAGGCATTCAAAAATCTCTGTAATCTGTTCTCAAACACCTTTAAAAATGACACAAAAAGCCATTATCTTAGCCAAGCAATTCTTCTGACTCCCAAGTTTCTCAAATTTTTGTACCAGTTTTTCTTTTAGCCATGTTCTCTCTCTCTCTCTCTCTCTCTCTCTCACACACACACACACACACACACACGAATGGATTAGGAAGGTGTGTGTGTGTATACTTCAATGGAACACTACTCAGCTATAATAATATACTTTTCAAAAACAACTATTTTTATGTGCGTGAGCCACTTACATAGCCCAAAATATCATAACAGCAGGTCTGGCCAACATAAGTACTGAAATAAGTGTCTTTGAATAATGAGAAATAAAAGTAGATTTTCAGAATTGCAAATATTCTAATCTAGGCCCAAAATAGCCACATCGAAATCATAATTTCCAACTAGCTGATTATTTTAAAGCACTCACTAAGAGTGGACATGAAAATATAAGATAAAAGACTCAAGGAATTTCTTCTTTAAGGCTGGGAAAAGACCTCTAGACCTCGTTAGCTGCATGAGGTGAGGAGATGGAGTGAAGCTAATTGAAGAAATTTGCGATTTGTTTGTGCTTCAAACCAAACCACGTCTGAGGTTGAACTTCAAAGGCTTTTGCTGTCATTTTTTATTTGTTCATTTATTCTAGCAAACATGTGAAATGGTGTGCTACTGGAGTTGGATTTTTAAGTGTTTGACTACTGGCATTAATGTTTATTTCTTAGGCAAAGAGAATGGTCTAGAATAATGAAAGAATTCAGAAATCCTCAGTATTTAATACATTAAGCTAATAATCAATAACATGGAGAAAAAATATCATTATAGTGGAGCTAACTCTCAGTAAGCCCAAACTTCCATGAACAGCTGGGATTTTCTGTGAATATAAAATAATGCTATATAGCCATCCTGGGAGAACTTAAATAAAGGAGTATGAATCATTACAGCCAGAACCTTATTTAATCACTGATTACAGGTTTTATTATATTAACCTCATTTTCCAAAACATAAAGGGTAAAACAAAATTTCAAGGATATCATAATTTGGCAAAAAGATAATATCCTCCATCTACAATAAAAAATACTAATTTATATACACATTTCTTTAAAAAAAAAAAAAGATCTGGCCCTCCCTGGTGGCACTGCGGGTTACAGCACAGCACTAAGAAACTTAAGCTACACTTCCGCATGAGTTCGATCCCCGCCTGCTCCAGAGGTGACCACATGGCGCCGCAGACCTCTCCTGACCCGCCCGCTGCTCCCCTCAGCAGTGTACCTCGTTGATCTGCCTGTTCTGCTCCCCACTCTGTCTCTGGCGAAGCCTCTCACCCTCCGCATCTCTGGCCTGTACCCCAGTTCTGTATGAATAAATAAATAAATCTTTAAAAAAAAAAGGATCCATTTATTTATGCATACAAAACAGGGGTACAGGCCAGAAGTGTAGGGGGTGAGAGGATTCACCAGAGACAGAATGGGGAGCAGAACAGGCAGGTTTACTGAAACACACTGCTGAGGGGAGCAGTGGGTGAGACAGGAGAGGTCTGCCGCACCTGTGGGTCAGCTCCCTGGCCGGGGATCAAACTCATGCTAAGGCAGCTACGACTGACTGGCTGACTAGCTTCCAGAGCTGTGCCCCAACCCATTGAGCCATCAGAGAGGGTCCTACACACATTTATTTCTAAGACTGTTAGGGCCATGGACATAGAATGTATAAAAGTGAAAGTATCCAAGAGTGAAATTAATATCTTTTCAGAAATAAATTATGTTTTAAAATACAAAGTTCAATATAATCACCTGTGACTGTTCTATTTCTGCTTTGTTTAATTTGATTCCAAGGATTTCAGCAGCCACTTTCTGAAAACACAGGAAGACCTACATAACAGAAATAGATTCAAATGATTTGAAACAGACATGCTTAAGTTACTTTCAAATAAATGGAACTTCTAAAAAATGATAAACACCAAAAATATGATGTACCAGGTGATTCCAAAATTAGCTTTATCAAGTATATTGATATTTTAAATATAATAATTTTGAATGTTTTAAACATAATTTGAAAATCTACAACTCACTAAATTGGTCTAAAAATAAACATTATCCCTATAAATTTAGACTTCTAAAAGATTTAACATATGGCAATGATAACTACTACATTTTTAAAAATCTACTAGTATGACTTTCTCCTGTATGTCCTGAAGAAAATGAAAATCACACTACCCAGGTTTTTCAAGGTTCATTCCATACTGGTCTTTTACACTGGCAGTAGCCTTTCTTCAAAGGTTTTACTTCCCAACCCTTTAATAATTTTTTTTTTATTAAAAAGTTTATTTTTACATCATTTTGCACATCCCCTTTAATAATTTTTAAGGCTCCCATCAATTTCAAAATAATTCTCTGTATCTCCTGAGCAAAACTTAGGACTCTCCAGTTTTCTCCACTCAGGTTAAAGAGCAGCCTACTCCAGACAGAAACAAGACTCCTCAGCCATTACCCCAGGCCACCCTCACCGGCGAGGAGCGTCTGCCTGGCGTTCAGACTCCAGCCCAGCCCCCCACCACCGGTCACCTGTGGCACTTGCCTCTGCCTCACCAGCTACCCCGACTGCAAGGCCCACGGTCATTTACTGAATATCACAGTTCTACTAATTGTCATGGTAGAATCACTGAGCTGTGTGAAATGTCCACTTGAAGGGAGCAAGCATGAGTTTCCAGAAAATCTCCCACATGCCTCTGAGGTTTTCTTCAGTCATGTTCAAATCCTTGGATGCAATCACAGAAAGGCAGGGGCTTGGTTTCACTCAGAGTCAGGAATTATCCAACTGAGTCTGGTAACATGAAAGTGGGAAGTGGGAAACGAGGAGCCTGCACGGTGATGGTTTTCACTGGCCATGAGATTTAAGTTAGGAAGAAAGGAAAACGAAGATGTAGAAGATCCAGTGCTGGGGCCAATGTCCGTAGGACTTGTGGGGGCTGCAGAGTGGCTGGATGAGGACATCAAGGGCGTGAGCTGGAGAGGGCTAGGGGCCGGGGGTGCCTGCGTGGAGATGCGGGCGGGTCAGGGCACCCCTGGTGTGACAAGGAGTGACGGGTGGAGGCAGGGTGGTGGGGCCCACTGCACAGCCCCACTGAGGCTCCATGAGAAAGCAGAGGAGAGCAGAGCAGGCCCCCAGGAGCCACACCAGGCAACAGTCAGCACCAGGAACAGGCCAGCGGGGTCAGAGGTGAAGAATGGGATGAGACTACAGGGGATCCATATTCTCTTTGGCGCCTGTATTTTTAAATTCCCCCCAAATGACCCTAAAGTTATGCTGTGTGAATTGTAAAATATAAACAGAATATGATCATCTAATCTAAAGCATTTTATGTCTTTAAAAAAACTAAATTTGCTCCAAATGTAAAGTAATGGAAGTATACTTCTCAGGAATCTTAGTAAATAAAAGCAAAACGTCACTGAGAATACTCAGCATTCGTTATTTTACTTACAGAGTCGCCTGTCTTTGCTGAGACGAAGTGGCTACTAAAACCATTTTCCTGGCAAAACCGTAAGTGCTTTTCGGTTTTCACTGTCCGCATATGTTCCAAATCAACTAGAATGGTATTAAAAAGAGAATAACGTTTAATACTAGAATCAATGAATACATGCTTAACATATTTAAATTTGACTGACTCCCAGTATCACAGCCAACTTAGACACTAGCCATGAAACCCCATCAGGCTATTTAAGTTCTTCATGCCATAGTCTCTAGATCAAAACACTGGAAATAACAAGTAAATTTAATTTATACAGAGTTCTCTGAGAATTAATCCATGACAGGAAATAAGGGCTCAAAACTGGAAACAATTATTATTATTCTCAATATAGCTTCAGCCATATTGAAAATGGTTCCAAAACTCTACTTAAAATGTTTACATATAGTGATTAATGAAAAGTAAGATGCACACCCAAACAGTCCGTTACATTATTAGATCTATAATCTCTATGAACTTTAATGTTAACACCAACGCAAGACTTTCTGCTAAAAGATATCAGCCTTTTACTGTATACTTACATTATTTCCAGTCACAGTATAATTTTACAAAGATGAAAACTCAGTTGTCCATTTTGTAACTAACAGGCAAAGTTCTTGCACAGTCATAGATACTTTAAAGCAAAACAGTACTGAGCCAGTGCTGGATTTATCCAGCAGACTATTTTTTTCAAATGTGATCCTTTATTGAACAGTTTCCCGTTTTACAACATTGCAGCCCCTACTAGGGTGTTGACTCAGTGCCGTCAGATCATAAGGCAAATATAGTCACAGATTTAAAGACAACTAGGCTCTTTGAGTCAATATAGGAAAAAAAACTTAAACTGATTTCCTGAGGAAGGGACCCAACTGACTTGTAAAAATTTGTAAATTTGCAAATCTTGTAAGCCTACATAATAGTGGCAATTGATTGTCAACTAAAAAATTCTTACATGCTACATTAAAGGTTTTATTTAAAATAATGTTGAAGGTCTTTATTTTGGGGGCTTCTAGAGATCTTTCTCTAGAAGATTTTTGATCTAGTGGGAGATTCCTGAGCCCCATTTACATTGCTTACCTTGGATAATATGAAACTTTCTAGCCACAAAGTTTCTGTTCCTTAAACATTACTGAGACCTTATTTACAAGAACAAGCAAAAAAAGGTCCAGATACCACAGGCATCAATCTGCAGAAGACTAAAATACTAAGCTAGTAACACTGACTTTTATAAATATAGTTTATAATAATATTGAAGCTAAAATACCTTCCTAATTCAGTAAGAGCAAGAACAAATCACTGACCAATTAAAAAAGAAAACACGAAGCTTGTCACATTTAATGTGTGCGCATTTATCTTATCCAATGGAACAGCCTATCATTCTGTTTTTTTTTCTTACATTCCTCTCTTCCTGCTACACCCTACCTCACAACTCTCTAACAAATAAGTTTATACCGAACATTGAGAGATTTAGTATGAAGCCAAAGCTTTTTCCATAATCACGATACCCATGAGAAATGAATACTAACACAGTCAAATGAGAAAAAAAAATTATTTATTCAACATTTATTAAGTGCCTATTCTCTAGGCGATGAGAACACAAAGGTGAACAAAACACAAGCTGGTCTGGCTAGCAATCGTTAGGACCATGCAGGTATGATGCGCCTTAAGGGCCTTTAACAGCAATTCCCTTTACTTACCTGAGATTCCAACCAGCGAGACAGCAAATACAGAAGAGGCCCTACAAAGATGCCCTGTGCTGTGTTAGAAATGAAGAGGCAACACTTATGAGAACTCAGTGACTACAGCACTTCATTCCAGATAACCCAGAAATGTAAATTCCAAACACGAAATTACAGTAAGATGTTTGTGAAAACAGTTCTGTTCTTCTGTTTTTAACAGCAGCCTACAGCGACTGCTAGCGCCCATCCTCACGATGTGGTGACGTACCTGCTGCTCTGGTGAGCCTATCTCCTCTGTCCTTCAGCAACCTTCTGTTCTAGTTCTTGTACTTCACTGTTAAAAATGGACTTAAATGTTCCTAGTGACCATACATGCTCATGTTCCAAATATTTAGGAGAATGACCATGAAAATATAACTGAAAATGCCACTAACTAAGGACAAGTTAAGGTTTTGGCGGCTACCCTTCCAATGTCTAAGCAACTGAAGCACAAAGGTGTGACTACTGCAGACGTGTGATCTCTCTGGTGTCAACCACACGACATCCTGTTACATGTACTCTGAAAATTCCAAGGGCGAGCCACTCAATCAATCACCCATTCATGAGGTCAGTCAGTCGTTCACCAAATAACGGAGTGACTACTTTGGCCAGGTATTGTCCTGGGGCTGCAGATTAGCACTGTGCTCATATTTTGGTGAAGGGACAGACAGCAACAAGCACAACAAGCACATGTTATGGAGAAAGTTGACAGGCACATAAAGGGAAGAAGTGTTTTAAACAGGTGGGTCAAAGAACCTCAGAAGGCAAACGAGCAAGGAAATCCAGGGAAATGCCTTCCAAGTAAGGGGACCTGCAGGAACAAAGGGTTATCGTCACAGATTCACAGAAAAGACAAAGGCCAGGGTGGCTGAAATAAGTTAGCAGTCAAGGGAAGGAGTGGGAAATGAGGCTTAACAACCACACCACACATAAAAGACACTATAAGAGAGGAGTTATCAGGGAATTGTGAGGGGGGAAAAAAGGAAACAGATATACTCCAACTTACATTTTAGAAGGGTCATCTGAGCTGCTTTGCTAAAAATAAACTATAAAGTCAAGTATAAAGTAAAAAAGTCACTGAGCAGGTTAGTATAAAAATCTAAGAGGAAGAAGATGGTAGTTTAGACAAGCTGGGTTTCCCCACCAAGGGGCAAGTAAGTGAATATAAATGTAAGGAAGTTGAAGTAAATGCAAAGGAGAGATTACAGGCACAGGACAAAGCATGGAAGCTGGGGCGAGGGGTCCATAATATGACACATTAAAGTGATCAAATGATATTACGGTCTATTAAGTTTAAAAACTGTTGGAGTTGGGTTATAAGGGATGGACACTGGGAAGGAAGGAGACATTCAGATGCAGATGCATGAAAGTGACACTGACATCATCGAGAGGTGCAGCACTGGTACTGAGTTCTTCAGAGAAACCGTGCTAGTGCAGGCAGGGGCAAGATGCCCGGGGTAAGAACTCAGGGGACGGAGAGGCCAAGGCCCAGAGGGTAATCTCCATGTGTGCTGAGCCTGATGAGGCTCTTGGTATGCAGTCCATACACTTCCTTAGAAGTTTAAAGACTCTTCATTGTTATTATTCATCTCTCAATAAACAGAAACGTCTATTATGTATCAAGTATTACCCTAATCACAACCAATCTATGAAAGAACAAAACAGACACTATTCTTATGCTCACATTGATGAGGGAGAAGGACTATAAGCAAGTGAACAACGCAAGGCAATATAAGGGTTATAATCTGCAATGGAGGAGGGAGAAGTGGCCCAGCCAAAGAGTGCGGGCCTGACAGGAACCAAGGTGACAGCAGGGCAACTTTATCTACTTCTTTGACCAGAGATCTAAAAGGTGAGAATAAACTAACCAAAGTCAAGAGGAAGCTGGAGCTGGAAGAGAAAATGTTTCAGCTACAGGGACACGCCTAGAAAGGGACAGTGGGGATGTGCCAGATGGGGATTCAGGTTCAGAAGCCTGAGGCCACCTGAGGGTGGGGCCACAGGTACCACATGAGCTTTCCATTTTCAAACCTGCTCTCACTACTTGCCTATTTCGTTTGTTTGTTTTGGAAAATAACATTAATTTATTTCCACAAAAATAACAGCAAACAGTAAGCAAAGCCAGAGCCATAGCTCAGGACACCCCCACCCACCTCAAGGACACTTCCAAGCCTAAAGTAGTTACGACAGGAGGGCGGGCTCTGGCTACTTGCAAAAGGACGACCCGGAGGGCACAACTGCAGCTGACACGCCACTGCGCGAGACTGCTGCAGCAGCTTGAGCCTCAGTCTGCCACATGCGTAGGGCCTCACATCAATCCCAACACGGAAGTGAAGCATTATTCTAACTTCACACACTAGCAAATCGAGGCTCAGGTGACAACCCAACCCCAGCGCCAGTCATCAGTGGCGAGAGAGTCCACGCAGCCACTGGATTCTATACCAGTTAGCATCTGGCAGAGAAGAAAGAACGGAAGCTTTGCGGATCAGCTTCTACTTGGTGAACTTTTACTTAGAGTTTTAATGAAAAGGATAAAGACGAACTTTAAATGTTAATTATTGTTACATAAGAAAGTGAACAAGTCAATACCTAATAATGACCTGAGCACTATTAAAGCAGTCATTAATAATAAATCATAAAGCTGAACCCACTGGCCTTGTAAGACACTCTTTGCCTGCACACTTGATTACATAAAATCCTTTACAAAGTACTTGCAGCTGTTTATACAAATTGTGAAATTATATAATGTTTAAAAGTGATCCATCATGATTAGGCCAAATATGACAAGAAAACGTCTTAATTTATTAGCGTTGATTTACGTGGGCTTAAAATAATGTATATATTTTGACTTCTAAAACACATATGAATGCTAGTAAGTCAAGTACATAACACCTCCTTTTGAGTACTATTTCTTGACTGGAATTCAGACACCCCTTTTGGGGTTCCCCTGGCATCCACCTACAGCGTCCCTGGCATTAAGAACAGAACAGTCATCAAAGGTACAGTACCAAGTTGAATAAACATCAGAAATACAAGACACAATGTAAAATATTAAAACTATTAAAATATTATAATACAATGTCTATTGTACTTTTTATATTGACATGAGCCATAACAAAATCCCTATTTTTCTAAGTTATTTTTCAACATGCTAGAACAACATATTCAATAATACGAAATTTTTAATTCAAGTCAGAATGTATTACTTCGTTTTTTAAAAAAGAAAATTTTATACTGATAATTATATTAATGTCTATTTCCTGTCAATATAAAGAAAAGTAGTAAAAGCAAATATCATGGCAAAAACAGAATAATCTCAGTAAAATGACTGTAAAATATGTCACAGTCTAAAATAAAGAAGT